TGTGTAAAACAGTAACGGGTATCGCGTTACTCGACTTTTTGCGTTTCCTCTTTTTTAGAACTCAAGCTATTCTACTGATTTGGCTGATTTTGATTATTACCAAAACTAAAGAAAGTATTATGAGGGACCCGTTTACAGACGATTGAGGGAATAAAAGCTAAATCAAAGAAAGCGGTGATGGATATACCGAAAAAAGGCATATTTTATCAACAGAGAAATATTTTAAAGAGGAAAAATTGATTTAGAAAAATAAATCAAGTTTTGCATTTTTTTGTAAATTAACTTGCGTTACCCTCTGCCTGTAGAAGTGTACATATCAGATATCGAAATTGATCCAGCCTTTTTTATTTACTTGTTTGTTATAAACACATTCAATAGATGATTAATCATATTTTATTGCGTTGTTTTGAGTTGCCATATTTAACAGCCATACTAAAAAACACCGGGTTCCGGTCACAGAGGAAGGCGAAATAATATTTCTCGGTTTAAAAATCGAAGGATGGTTAAATAAACTTGCGCTTTGCAGGCATCTCACAAAGCAGCATTCTTCGTCCGATTATTGTATCTCATATAGTTACCTGTTACATACATTTCAACGAATACAATACCTGTCGGGAGCAGTCATCCAGCTAATACCAGAATTACGAGTTGCAATTTGTTCAGCATCACTGTATGCTAAATTATCTTTTGACTATAAGACAAGCCTATCGCAGTGAACACGCAGTCACAGCGCTGCTAAAATGAATAATAGAACAAATCTCTCGGGTTTTTTTTTTGTATAATTATAAGTTGTAAAACATATCTTGAAACAGGTAACATAAATTAATGCCCTCCTCAAAACATTTGGTGACCCCGACGTGATCGTGAACGCTTTTGAAAGTTAAGAAATTAATAAATGTCGTTTTAATAATTCCAAGCGCCTTTTACACAATTCGGTGTGAAGGTCAATAAACTCAATTCGCATCGTTTGTACGGTATTCGCTTATACCTGCAAACCAAAGCTACAGTCAGCATCGCCTGCTGTACATATCGAAAACTTTTACACAACGCCTAGCGTTACATAATTTCGGTTCCGTTCTACCCGCTACTTTTATTGTCCCTTTCGTCGCCGTTAGTCAAGGGCATTGGAAAGTTCGCTTAGAGACTGTTGAACACTCTTTCAGAAATTAATTCGAAAAGTCGGAAGAAAATAAAACAGAACTTGTGCAACATGCCCCAATTTAACGAATACAATGCAAAGGAGCAAAGTCAAGCTCCGTGGTGCGTCAACTTGCGGCGTTAAATACTTTCTTGAGTGATGAACCGTTGGCCAAGTGCGATGAAAGTGAATTGCAGGTGCAGTAAGAGTTAGTCGAGAGGCTGAATTCAGACTTTGACTGATGGAATCCAACGCGGGCATAAGATTAACCACCGCGTACTGTGACACAAAAGGGAGAATTTGCCGCTACTTAAACGGCGAAAAAAAGAAAGTCCATGGCAAATTCAACCGAATTGCATGGCATCAGTGCCGCCTTAGGCCTACCAGACTGCCGGAATTTCATCTTCCGCGATTTGGAGGAGCATACATCGATTGGCTGGACTTATGTACGCTATGCTCAACACGGTGGTGGGAACAAACGAGGACTTGTCAAATGTATACGCTTTTATAATAAATTGTTACAATTCCAGCCACACGTTCGGTCATTATTCAACCTACCAGGGAGTGAAAGGGATCAGCAAGTAGTTTGCGGCAATTGAGCGACAAGGCAGACTTGCGCGCCCTCAGTACTTTGGCAACTATGCAGGAAATTCTTGACGGTGTTTTGATCCATCTCATTTCTTCGAAACTGGACTATCGTAACCAGGACAGGTGGGAGGAGGTGTTGCCTGCAAAGGAGCTGCCGAATTGGAACAAATTTTCCTCATGGAGAATTTGAAACGCGCTATGGTAGACCATACACCTAGCAAACAGGTGGGAAATGTAGCTAGTAGAAGTCATCGCACCACGCTTACTGCTTAGTCTTCGACATTGCCATTGTGTATACAATGTGAGTCCACGGAGCATTATTTGATGAAATGCCCAGAACTTCTAGGATTGACTCCAACTCAGCGCTACAACGAAGCAAAAAGGATGCACCCTTGTTTAAATTGTCTACGGAAGGTACACAGCTTACGGCAATGTAGATCTGGTAGCTTTAGGAACTGCCACAAGAAACATAATACTCTTCTGCAATCAAATCCCATAGCAAACTTTTCGCAACCTTGTCTGAAATGCCGCCACATACCTCCTGCCACCGTATGTCTGGCGTATTCGTGCCTTGCAGGACCTTACTCGACTCGGCCTCTCAAATCAAATTCGTCACCTCTCGTCTCGCAACCCAGCTGCAACTCCAAATCCATAGCTCAACCATCTCCATATTAGGGATCGGCAAGTCCTCGCTGGCATCGGATAAGTCGGTAAACATTTTCACACAATCCGCTAATACCAAGTACAGCACGTCCCTTGTAGCTGGCCGTTACCCGGTCAATCACCGATTATCACCCACAGTTCGACCTTAACCCATCTGAGTGGAAAATACCGTAAAATCTCGAGCTCCCCGACCCATTCATTCTTCTACAAAAGTCAGCGCATTGACTAGCTTATAGGAGCAAGTTTATTGCTTTGCATTGGACAAATTCGATTAGGAAACCATTTACCCACCCTGCAGAAAAGCAGACTTGGCTGGATCGTCTCAGGGTGTCTAAAGGTAGGAGCTTCTACGCGCTCATCTTCAATCTCCTCAATTCAGGAACCCTCCACTCAGTCGGAGTTAAAATCAATTTCTGACACATTAAAGAGAAGTGGCCCAGACGCTACAGTTTACTTTTCAGGTCCTCAAGCCAATGGACCGACCAGACCGCAATCAAGCGTAGCTGTCTTTCGGCAATAGTTCGATTCTACGATCCACTTGGATTAATAGCCCCGATCATCACCAAGCTAAAGATTTTTATACAGGTCTTATGGAAGGATAAGCTTGACTGGGATGAACCCTCACCGCAATCTTTGCACTCGTCATGGTTTGAGCACATGTCACAGATCACAACATCTACTTGCAAAAAATTACAGCATAACTTATCAGGCAAAATTCATGGACTTCCTGCTGGAAATGGCTGTGCTTCCTTCTCTTCGTCGGCAGTCCTGATGGCGGCAGGTGAAAGCGGAAGTACTGGAATTGGCGGCGGCGCCAACCTCTCCTCATCGTCATCATCGTCGTCGTCATTTTCATCTTCACCTTCATGGAGAACCCGCTCTTCTGGCCAGATTCTGGTGTAAAAATCGGACATGGCCACGTATACAGAGGACAAGGAGGACAACTTACCCACCTTGCTGTGGCGCCTTGGCAGGGTGGAGAGCACTGTCTCCGGAGATGACGGCGTCAATCGATTGTGGTGATCTGCACTAGATCTGTATTGTGCAGTGGGCAACAAGGAAATTAGCTGTCTTGCCCCCCAAAACCACTTCGCTCTAAAGTATGGCTCTTTCAACGGGGGGAATATGTCGGGAGCAGTCATCTAGCTAATACCAAAATATGGGTTACAATTTTTTCAGCATCACTGTATGCTCAATTATCTCTTTTACCTCTGTAAGACAAGCCGAGATAAGCGCTCGCGAGTCGACTATTGCCGATTCGCCCCATTACATTTCGTTCTCTATCGCTATGAACACGCAGTCGCAGCGCTGCCAAAATAAATCATAGAAAAATCTCTCGTCCTTTTATTCACGGCACCAAATTTTTTGTATAATTGTAAGTTGTAAAACATATCTAGAAACTGGTGGCATATAAATGCCCTCCTCAAAACAATACCCTTATACTCTATAAGAAAGCAGTTACCACTTGGATCATGACGAAAGTTATTTTAAATCCATTATACAAGAATAGTTTCCAAAACTAAGAACTTTAAAGTGACACAAAAACGTGGACGCCAGCCATGTTTTATTTGTTGGCGTAAAATAAATAAACTTGCTGAGCATAGGGACATCAAGAATCTGCTTGCTTACTCTTAATTTTGTATCTTTTATAGTTCCTGAAGTCTCAGAGTTCATACGAACAGACAGAAGGACAGATGGACAGACGGACGGACAAGAGGACTGACGGACGGACAGATGGAAATGACTCAATCGACCTCGCTATTGATCATAATAAAGAATATTTATAGGGTTAAAAACGCTTCATTCTACCTGTTACATACTTTTTAACGATTCTAATATACCGTTTTACTCTAGGAGAATTTATACAATGTCAACAGAAGACATACATTTTAATATTATGGACGCCACAGTTTTCCGCGCATTGTGGGTATTATGAGCGTAGAAGTAGCCGGATTAAAAATCCCTCGAGCTGCGGTGGTAATCCCAACGTTGTATCTCTTATAGTTCCAGCGTTCATACGGAATGACGGACATGTCTTAATCGACTTGGTTGTTAATCTTGATCAAGAATATATATACTTTAAAGAGTCGAAAACGGTTTTTTTGTACCTGTTACATACTTTTCAACGAATACTACACACTCTTTTTCTCTATGATATAAAAATGTATATTATATAAAAGACCGCAAAAACAAATGCAAAAATAATATTGACGATGTTATAACTGGATTGCGGTTTTCATTAAGACATAAAAAGGTAATGTATTCAGCTCTACAAATATGTTTTCATTCACTTACTATTCCACTAAAATGTTCCAATACTTCCTTCTCTTCTTTACTCCTAGAAATTAATCCAGATGTTCTCTGTTGAATTGGATTAACGTTAATAGTATAAATATCTAAAGCCTCCATCGCATATTGAACTAATTCAATGTAAACGCATAATATTTCAGGTCCAAAAATCTTTTCATGATTAGTAGGCATTGTATCAGATATCTGAAACTTTTCGAAAAAAAATAAAAAATAAATAAAAATATACCAGAATGATTTTTAAAAACATACCTTTGAATTAAAGAAGCCCCACGTTATGGTTTTAACTCCGCCCACAAGTGTTTTTACTAAGCTTCGAAATTCAGCTACATTTATAGAATTAACCCATTGTGATCCAGTAGCGGTTGATCTTGCTTGCTCATTCAATATTAGGTCCTGGCAGAATAAACTTTGGTTAGCAATATTTGTAATATTTTTTTTATAATACATACATTATTTAGATCTGATATATTACTTAGCGGCATTGGGACGTTGCTAGTCGAGCTCGCCGTAGCTCCAGAATTGGATTGTCCTTTGCTTGAATAATACAGAAATATATAACAGGCGATTTTTGAAGCGTAGTTTTTGTTTTTTGTAATCGAATAAAACACTCAAAATTTCATCATAGAATCAAAATTTTTATTGGAATCTACGGGGCTTGCCATTTGCGTCCATTTGAAAGGCCCAATTTTGGATCACTTTTTTGAGCATTTCTGTCTGTATTTCACGAATCACGCAACTTATGTTATGCTGTAAGGCTTTAAGCTAGTTTGGCTTGTCTACACGAACTAAAGACTACATAACCTCACAAAAAATAATCAAGGGACTTTAAATCGCATGATCTGGGTTGCCGAATTACAGGGCCATTTCGTGAGATAAGCTGCACACCAAATTTTTTTGCTTGCTTGTACGGACTGAATGCTGAAATAAACTTGCGCTGCGTAGGGTTCTCAAGAATCTTCATGCTTAATCTTAACTTTTTATCTATTATAGTTCCTGACGGACGCACGGACATGGAGTAATCGACTTCGATATTTATCCTGATAAGGAATATATATACTTTATAGGGTCAGAAACGCATCCTTCTATCTGTTACATACTTTTCAACGAATCAAGTATACTCTATTAGTTTACGAGTAACGGGTATAACAAAATAGAAACGCTTTAGTGGCATATCGGGACAATAAGACACCTCTTACTGTCTTATAATATTTTAGAATAATAATTTCGCTAGTCGAAATTAATGCAGCGGCAGGAAAAAGTATGGTTACTAACTGATGGTGACTTTACCGTCCATGTAAAGCATTATAACGTGGCCGGAGGAGATTTACCGCTAGTTGCGGTGGGATCACCTAATTCTAATTTAATAACTCCTATAGTTTCCGAGATTTCAGCGTTTTTTGGCTAGGATGTAGTCCAATCTGGACGTCCAATTTTTGCTGACTTTTTCCAACAGTCGAGGCCGCACCAGCCCATAAGCGCACCAGTCAGTTTTTCTGAATGTAACGGCGTTTTGACATACACTTGAGGGTTACCTTCACTCCAAATGCGGAAGTTTTGTTTGTTGACGTAGCCATTCAACCAGAAGTGCACTTCAATGGCAATCTCGTTTTTGACTCATTCGACGCTTGATGATCGTTATGCTTCAATTCTTGCACAAGTTGGGTTTTATAAGCACGCAAAAAAGATCCTTTCGAAAAACTTCCAAAAAGTGGATGGACATAGATTCAATTCCTGTTCTCGATGGTGGATGTACTCATTCAGGTCTTCCTCAATGCTACGCTCTACAGTAGCAATAGTTTCTTCAGTACGCACAGTAAGGCGTCTCTGGGGATGGAATAATAATATATCAATAAGACGATTATTCGATTGACATGTGCTGCTGTTTATCGGCAATAACACGGCGAATGTTGTCTTCCAAATGGTTAAGCGTTTGAGGTTTATTGGAATAGACCAATGACTTTATAGCCCCACAGAAAGTAGTCTAGCGGTGTTAAATCACAAGATCTTTGAGGCCGATTCGCAGGTCCAAAACATGAAATTAAGTGGTCACCAAACGTGTCTTTTAATAAATCGATTGTGGCACAAGCTTTGTGACATGTTGCGCCGTCTTGTTAGAAGTACAGCTCCTGTAAATCATGGCTGTTTAATTCAGGAATGAACAAGTTAGTAATCATGGCTCCATACCGATCACCATTGACTGTAACGTTCTGGCCATCATCGTTTTTAAAGAAGTACGGACCAATGATTCCTCCAGCCCATAAAGCACACCAAACAGTCCGTTTTTCTGGATGTAACGGTGTTTCGACATACACTTTAGGGTGATCTTCACTCCTAATTTGGCAGATTTTTTGTTAACGTAGCCATTCAACCAGAAGTGTACTTCATCGCTATACAAAATTCGCTTATGTAAATCGGGAACAAAGGCAATCTCGTTTTGGGATTCATTCTAGGAATCTACGCCTTGCTAGGTGATCGTTTGGCTTCAATTCTTGCACGACTTGGATTTTGTAAGCGCGCAACCCAAGATCCTTCGGCAAAATCTCCCATAAAGTGGATGGACATAGATTCAATTCCTGTGCTCCATGGTGGATGGACTCATTCGGGTCTTCCTTAATGCTACGCTCTACAGTAGCAATTGCTTCTTCTGTATGCACCGTACGGCGTATCTGGGGATGCTAGTTATCAATAAGAGTAAACGTGGTGCGCAAACGTTCCATGGTTAATCGAATTAACTGCTCTGATGGACGATTTTGTTGACGATAAAATGGACGTAGTGTGCGATACGTATTCCGCACAGAATTATTATTTTCGAAACAATATTACACTATTTGCAAGCGTTGTTCAAAAATGAGACTATTTATGATGAATTGCCAAGCCAAAGTGAGAATAAATCTAACAGTGAGAATAAAATCTTGAACAGTAAAAGCCGACTTAAAAGTTCTACACCTCAAAAAAGACTCTTTACATGCTTAATCCGAAATTTCTATCTCTTATCCTAAGATCTCTACGATTTTAGATAGTAAAAACATAGTATCTATAATTGTTCTCGAGATCTCAGCGATTTTAATATTTTGAGATTTGTGAGCGCTAGATTGGGCGTGGCAGGATGTTGAAATAATTGAAATGCTGCAAAACCATCTCAAGAAGGCGCATGTATAGTTCCTGCTACTACTACTTGTTTTACTACTTATTTACCCTGATCAAGAAAATATATACTTTATAGAGTCGGAACCGTTTCCTTCTACGTGATATAAAATTTTCATAGAATACAGTAAATGCTTTTATTCTGCAAGAAACAGTTATATATAAAGGCCTCACATGGGCAGTAAAATCATGACTTAAAGTACAGTTTATATATATAATTGAATCACATAATTGTAAACGTAAATTGTACTTACCATTTTTGTAAAATTAACGGAAGCTGAGTGGTGGCAATGGTTTCAAATCTTTTTACAAAAACTTTTAAGAGTTTTAAAAGTATAGCCCGAGACCTTTGGGGATCTATTTCGCTGTGATGTCTTAAGCAATCTACCAGGTTTAACAAAAGTTTGCAAGACATTGTTTGAATTCCCACAGCAAGTGTTTCATCGTGAACATTTTTTGAAAAGAGATTAACTGCTTTTATTAAGACGTCTAAGCTAAGGTTTTGGCGAACATGGTGTGCAAGGTCTGCTAGTGTTGAATAAGCCAGAGGGCGAATGGAATCTAATGTGACGCCTTTTCCAATTAGCAAGTCCTCATCAAAAAGGTTTTCAATTGAGGGAATAAATTCTGAAAAAATAGTAATGATATAGAATTACAAAAATATTAAAAGTTAAATACGGATTAAATTCAAAGATCTAAGGTGTAAAGGGTATATTGTATTTGATGAAAAGTAAGTATCAGGTAAAAGACCCTTAACGGGGGGGTCGGGGTTATCACAATGTTTATTCGTCGCCTAATAAATGACCGTCGATTCGCCGAATTGGTGGATCCTTAAGTGACTGACGAAAGGGCGTCAAGTCACAGGAAGTCTGTTGGTGGTGTCGCAACTGTCACTTGTAACCAAGTGGACGGCGGAGAGAATATCAAAAGATGACGATCTAAAGACGCGGCAACAGCATCTGACGATTGCGATGATGAATGAGAAACAGTTATCGAATGCTGTAAGTGTGAATCTGACTTTATTGAAAGAACCAGTATTTATAGGTAGAAAGCTAGGTAGTCGAAACATGCACATGCGTTAAGATATAGCAACGGGACCTATGTCTGAGCATCTAAGCTGACAGGACAGCAAACCACTGCTGAATCAGTGCGAAAACCAACATTTAACTGGAGTAAATCCCCAAAAACCCAAAATCTTCTTTTTGAGCTATTGATCGAACAAAAAACTGCTTAGATGGTTTTCTTAAAAATATGTTTCTGGAATGCGAATGGCATCTCACAGCACAAATGCATGCTCTAGCAGTTCCTAGATCAGTATGACATTGACGCCATGTTTATATCAGAGACACACCTAACAAACAAGAACTATTTTCAACTTAATGGATATCCGTTTTATAAAGCAAACCATCCTGATGGCAAGGCTAATGGCGGTACAGGCATACTGATCAAGAAAAGCACCAGGCACTATGAGTTGCCATCATTTGCCATCATTATACAAGCTAAATCAATACACATCGATACCAGAAACCGTATCTTAAACCTGTCAGCTGTATACAATGCAAAACACACCCACTGGTGCTCTCAACTCACCAACCGCAAAGGAAATCAGCTGTGCAACGCTATAATTACACCAAGAAACAAGCTTGGTCTCATCTCTCCTGGCAAGCCTATATATTGGCTAACAGATCCTAATAAAAAGCCTGACTTGATCGATTTTGCCGTCACAAGAAGAGTAGCTAGAGACAATGTCCACATGGAACACTTAACAGATCTGTTATCGGATCACTCGCCTATTTTACTTCATCTCTACGACCATCCACAGCTGTCAGAATGCATACATGCTCTAACCTCCCGTAAAACAGATTGGCTTAAATACAGAAAGTATGTAAGTATCCATATTGATGACTTCCCAAACATGTACCAAAAAGCACAGATTGACAGCTCAGTTAAAGAACTAGTGTCTGTTATGTCAATAGCTGAAAAACACTCCACCCCTATTATACCGGCTTGTAATCCTGATAATAACTGGCGGCCTTCTCCGCATATCAACGAACTGCTACGCAGCAAAATAAGGCTTTGGAGGTAGTGGCAAGCCCAAAGGCTTAGAAGATTAAAATAATCGATCTTAATTCTCCTATTTGCAGCATCTCTCCTCAAACTGTGGAAAGCTAAATCAGGTATATGTGAACCAAACGAAAGCGAGTCGCCAATACACACACAAACAGGAGAATGGGCACGCAGCAATGAAGAGAGGGCAAATGTATTCGCCGCACATCTAGAAAACGTTTTCAAACCACTGCCATCAATAAATAGCTTTGTGCTCCCAACAAAAATCTTTCCAGAGGCTACCGTGCTTACCATATTCCAATCAAGAGAAGTGATAGGAGTGATAAGAGCTTAACAAAGAAATAAAGCGCCAGGACACGATTTAATCTCCCCTAAAATGATTATAGAATTGTCGAACTGTGCAGTAAATCTTCTCACCACGATATTCAACAGCATGATGGAATTGAGATATTATCCGCAACAATGTATAAATTCTGTCAACACTATGATTCACAAAGCTGGGAAGGACAAGTCTCAGCCTTCATCATATAGGACAATCAGTCTCCTGTCGTGAGTGTCAAAGATATTTGAAAAGCTGCTCCTGAGTCGTATAAAGCATCACCTACAGTCAGATAATGCCATTCAACCAATTTGGTTTTCGCGAGAAACACGGAACCGTTGAACAAGTGAATCGAATAACCTCCGAGATACAAAATTCATTTGAAAATCGAGAGTATTGTTGCGCAGTCTTTCTGAATGTTGCCAACGACCACGACTTCAATCGCGTTTGGCTGGACATCTTAATTTCTCAAATTTAACCTAAATTTAAATTTTTAATTTTAATTTTGCAGAGACGTTTTGCTGTGCGATGCAGAGATTTACTCTCCGAATACCATCCAATTGAAGCCGGAGTACCTCAAGGTAGCGTGCTTGGACAGACCTTTCACAGCAGACCTTCCGACAACCAGTCTTGCAACCACCTCAACATTTGAGGATGATACTTAAATTAAAAGTAAGAAAACATTGGTTTATAAATGCCCTTCCTTCGCTAATATTGGAGTACAAGGTACTTCTGAACAATACAGTTCTCAAGCCAATTTGGAAATAAGGCTCCAAGCTATGGGTAATCGAATGAGTTAGCAACCCAGAAGTAATACCGTAATAATACTGAGAGCTATATCACTCTATCCTAAAGGAAAAGGATGCCATTTAACAACAAAGGTTATTGGCATCCATTTGATCTTTCTCCTTTGCCGTTAATCAAATCCGAACAACTCCAGCGACCAATTGGGTGTCCTATTGCCAGTGGTGGTTCAATTGAAAATACTGTTTGAAGAATGGTGGCTTCTCGATCTCGGCTAGGATACGGAACTTCCTCCAAAAATCGGTGAATGGTGTAACAAATGCCATAACGACTTGAATGAATTACAAGAACTACGTATGCCAAGATTTATCGACCACAATGAAAATCACATCGAAATGCACTGATTTTTGGATGTTTCTATCAAGGTGTATTCCGCAGTTGTTTGCAGCAGATTAGTAATGGAACTGAATGTGTTTCACTCTCGAGCTGTGTGGCGCTCTGCTACTTAGTACTAAACATTTCTTCAATCAAGAATGCTCTACAGCACAAAAGCATGCCAGTTTTGGCATGCCTTTCACACCCACTATCAAAGCTCAAAACATCTGCTGCCTACAGAACTTCTTAATTTTGACTTGCGGTGGGCGGGGCCTCCATGGCTGAAATATCGAGAAAAACGAAAGGTAACTACTTAAATTAAAAGAAAAAAAACCTACATTGGTTAATAAATGCCCGTTCTCCGCTAGAATTGGAGTATAAGTAATACAGCGAGCTTAATCAAAGATACTGAGAGCTATAACTGGTACACCGTGGTACATACGAAATGAAAACATTCACAGAGATTTAAATGTGGGATCTGTTAAAGACGAAATCGAAAATGTAAAAGCAAAATATACGATCAATCTATAGGCTCATACAAATAGAATTGCGCGGTCTCTTACATGGAACACTAGCCACTCACTACTCCGGAGAAGAGATTTCCCCACCCAGCAATAACAGCTTGGGTCGTTCTCCTAAAACATTTAATTTTAAATTTATGTGTTAGGCTAAGATTTGAATACTTGTTGTCATTCTTAAAGAGCGAAGATGCGATAAATAAATTCCGTAATTAAAAAAAAACAACTAAAATAGTCTCTCCGACCCTATAAAATATATATTTTTGATCAGGATAAATAGCAAATCGATTTGGCCATGTCTCAATTTCTATGAACGCTGAGATTTCAGGAACTATAAGAAATACGAAGTTGAGACTAATCAGGCAGATTCGTGAGGTCCCTAAGCAGCGAAAGTTTATTTCAGCATCCTGCGACGCCCAGTCTAAAGCCCACAAATCATGAAAATCAAAAAATCCATGAAATCTCAGAAATATTTAGAACTAGAAAGCTGGGATTAAGTGTGTATTATATTGAGATGCCAGCGCATCTTAAATTGAAATCATTATTTGACCACGGACTTTCTTACGCCCACCAAGCTCGAAAAGACGCTTTTTGTTTTTTGTAGACACGCTGAGATATCGGTTAATATAAATTAATAGAAATAGAAAGTTGGGATTAAACATATCGTATTTAACGATGCCCCATATTTAGTCAAGCCCACTCTTACGCCCTAAAAACCCGGAAAACCAAAAACAATAACATCTCGGTAATTATAAGAGCTAGAAGGTTAGGACAAAGCATACACATTCGTGGGGTAACACCGCAGATCGAAATGGTATTTTCATCAAGCCACGCCCATTATGACGCACGCAAAAGTTGAAAAAACTTAAGTCTTTGATATCTCAGGAACTATAAGTGATACGTTGGCATTAAGACTTTATAATCTTCAGATGGCAGCGAATTTCTAGGTGGTACCAATACCACTCTTCTTCTTGTTTAATGATTAAGTTTATGTTTTTGGGTTACCATGATTAATGAAAGCACAAGAGGAAACGCTATAGTCGAGTGCCGCGACGAAAAGATACCCGTTACTGTTTTACACAATTTTAAAATATTCATTTTGCTAGTCTCCAAGCGCCACATATTGTCGGAGAAAGCATGTTGAATAACTAGTGTCGTCACTGCCCATGTGGGTCAAACGAAGACATACACAATAATATTATGTACGCCACAGTTTTCCGCGGTTTGTGGGCGTGGTCGAATGAAAACCAGGGCCAGTTGCAGTGGCATCTTTTCAAATACGTATTCTTAAGGATAACTTTCTAGCTCTTATAGTTCCCGAGAATTTCCAATTTTTGGTTTTTCGGGTTTTGTGGGCGTTAGGGTAGGCGTGGCTAGATGGGAAAAAATTAATTTGCATTTGGAGCATTATAAAACCCACATGCTTAATCCGAACTTTCTATCTCTTATAGTTACCGAGATATCAGCTTTTCTAGAAAATGTGAAAACCGTCTTTTGAGCTTGGCGGGCGTATGGGTGGGAGTGGCCGGGTAATAGTACCACTATAAGATGCGCTGGCATCCAAAGATTGTACATATTGAATTTCAAGTTTCTAGCTCTAATAGTTTCTAAAATTTTAAGGATCTTAGTTTTTCGTGATTTGTGGGCGTAGCAGGATGCGGAAATAAACTTGCGCTGTCCAGGGACCGAAAGAATCTTCATGCTTAGTCTCAACTTTACATCTGTTATAGTTCCTGAGATCTCAGCGTTCATAGGGAGGGACTGACGGACGGACGGACAGACGGACATGGCTCAATCGATTTCGCTATTGATCCTGATGAAGAATATATATACTTCATAGGGTCGGAAACGCTCCCTTCTATCTGTTACATACTTTTCATCGAATCTAGTATACCCTTTTACTCTAGGTTACTATTAATAAATATGTGATCTTGGAATCCTAATTAGCATTAATATTTATAATTTTTAATTTTTTTATCAAAAAATAAATAAAATTTTGTTTATTAAATTATAAAACTTACTTTGTCGTAAGTCTGTTGCAAATATATGCCGGGCTGCAATTAATAGCTCTTTCCTAAGATGAGCTGCTTCCTTCGGACAATTTCTCATCAGGTTCAGCATACCGCTAGTGACAGATAAAGAGCTGGCGATAACTACTTCCTGAAATAAAATAGATATAAAATCGTCAGTTTCTTAACATACGAGTATTTAGTCTTTAGAAATTAAACTTGCAGCCCTTTTTGAAACAGTTAAATTTGAAATTTTGTTTATTTTTTTAAAGTTTTTTTATGTGATTTACGTTAGAATTTATGTAAACTATGAAATGTATGTCATATATTGGCATAGATGAGCGCCAACAAAGAAAGGCAAATGACCTTCTCGATCGTGAATTGCACCGACAAACAATTTTTGATTCTGTTGAACTCAGGATATATGCTCAAAGAAATCTTCTGAAGTTGGTTCCAGAACAACGTTCTGCATATGAGAGTATTATGCGTTTAATCACAGAACTAAGCGGTTGTACTGGCCAGACTTTCCTTCTCTCGCTCATTTTGGCAACCGTATAATCACAAATTGATATTGTATTGGCCATGGCATTATCTGGAATTGCGGCAACTTTTTTGGATGGTGGATGAACATCGCATCCAGCATTGAAGCATTGAATTTACAAAACACTGAGGCTGGAATGGGCAAAGTTCTCAAAACGTGTCAAATTATTATATGGGAGGAATGCACAATTTTTTCACAAGAAAGCATTGGAAGCGGTTGATCTGCTGATCACTGCGAGATACAAGAGGAAACGCACGGATTTTGTGTGGAGCTCTCATTTTTGACAAACACTCCCGGTTATACCAAGTTAAACACGTGCTGATCAATGCATGTTTAAAATCAGCCATTTTATGGCGCCACTTACAAAAATTGACTTTGTACAACTACAAAATGATGCATTGGCTAAATTATTGCAAAACATTAAATATATATTGGAAATGGCCGAATGCAAATTGATGAATCTGCGCAATCTATCACCTTGCCAACAAACTTCTGTAAGATCACAGAAAACTTATATGAATTGGAGCTAAGTTTTTCCCAACATTGCACAGAATTACAAAAATCATCAGTGCCTCAGTAGGCGTGCTATATTTGCGGCCAAAAACATTGATGTCATCAACATCACTATTCTTAATGGAATACATGGCTAAATGACAACATATATGTAAATCCATCAATACTGTGTAGAATGATGTCGAAGTTGTCCAACTGAATTCTCTCGATTTGCCAGGCTTGCCCCGCTGTATAAATAGTTCTTCAAACTGCTCCCATTTAATGCCGGGATAGCAGATCTGTGCAAACCTTGCTGAAGCACTGCCCTGCATGCAACTACTCAACATCATGGTAAGTGCGCTGACATCAATCTGCTGTTCGTCCATAATAATACTTGCGCTGTTGCACACCACTGAGTCGCATCACCTCCAGTTACATCTGGGTTAAATTTTGGCAAAACCACTTGATTTTGTGAACGCACAGACGCTTGCATAGCTTTACACATTTCGACGAAATTCCGATTTTGTAGTTCCATAATAGTACGCCATTGATCTTCAGAAAATGCAGAAGTTGGTACTGATCCCACTTCTGATGTTAGATTATGGTTAAGGTTTTCCATGTTTAAGTATATGGCGAATACTCTTGATCACGCCACTGCCACTTTAGACTCTTCGCCAGCATTCTAGCATACCAAAATGATCTCCAGAAAATGCTGTAACGAACATACTTGTATCTCTGTCTTTCGCAGTGGCTCTAGCATACACACACAACAATCGTAGTTCGTATCTCTCTCTTAAACCTTTATCCACACGCAACATCTCTTTCTCTCATATTCGAACATCCTGACCATCTGGCGAATAGATGGAACAAAGCGTACTAACAAACAACCGTTAGAATGCAGAGACGAGAATTGTCACTTGGTTTTATTCTTTATACTGACTACAATAATTTAAGATCCGACATATAGGTATGTATTATTTTTAAACCATCTGGCCACGCCCGAAAAACCAAAAAAGGAAAAATCTCGAAAACTATAAGAGCTAAAAAGTTAGGTTTAGGAAAATGAATATTAGAGATGCCATTGCAGCTCCCGCCACGTAACGTGCCATTGCAACTCCCACAAACCGCGGAAAACTGTAGCGTCCATAATATTATAATGAATGTGTTCGTTTGCACTTGTATAACATTTTTTTTGTCAATAGCTATCTATTTACCAAAGATTTTTCAAATCGGACATTATTTTGCTCGCTTTTGCCCCTCGCCTACTCTTCCACCGCCAAATTATCTTTTTTATACCCGTTACCCGTAGAGTAAAAGGGTATACTAGATTCGTTGAAAAGTATGTAACAGATAGAAGGAAGCGTTTGCGACCCTATAAAGTATATATATTCATAATCAGGATCAATAGCGCAGTCGATTGAGCCATGTCCGTCCGTCCGTATGAACGCTGAGATCTCAGGAACTATAACAGATACAAAGTTGAGATTAAACATGAAGATTCTTGAGGTCCAGGGCCAGCGCAAGTTTATTACAACATCCTGCCGCGCCCACTATACCGCCCAGAAACAGAAAAAACTAAAATTGCTGAAATCTCAGGAACTATTGGAGCTAGAAAGTTGAAATTCAGAAAGTATAATAATTAGACGCAGCGCATCATTTAATGGTTCTACTATCCTGCCACACCCACCCATACGCCCAAAAGGCTCAAAAGACGGATTTCGGATTTTCTAGAAAAGCAGATATCTCGGTAACTATAAAAGATAGAAAGTTCGGTTGCGAATTAAATTTTTCCGATTAAGCCACGCCCGCTCTAACGTCCACAAAACCCGAAAACTGTGGCGTCTATAATGTAGTGTAATTTTTTTGGACCTTGTATTACTTATTTCTGTCAATATCTACCGATTTACCAAAGATTTTTCAAATCGGAACAGTTTTTCGCTATTTATGCAGAAATGTATGTTATAACTCATGGACAGAGACTTCACTATCAGTTAATTAACATGCTTTCTTTGACAATAGGTTGCGCCTTGTGAATGTCCACTACCAAAATTAATATTTTAACATTTAATAAAACAGTAACGGGTATCTTACAGCGCGGCACTAGACTATAGTGTTTCTTCTTGATTTACCTTGAGTTACATTTTTTTCGATATCGATAACTTAACTCAGACATATAAAAATGATTATTTTTTATCATATTTATGCTGGACTTCATTTGGTTTTTGTGTTTTTATACCCGTTACTCGGAAAGTAAAATTGTATACTAGATTTGTTAAAAAGTATGTAACAGATAGAAGGAAACGATTCCGACCCCATAAAGGAAATATCTTCTTGATCAGGATGAATAGCGAAGTCGATTGTATTGTATGGTTGTATGTATGTTAAGGGCCTATCTATAGTACGGCCTACTCTGTTGTGTGAGTCGGCTCAAGATGGCGGTGTCGTCAGCAAAGGTTGATGTAGTTAGGCACTTGTTTAAGGGGAATGTCAGCGTCCATACGGACAGACGGACGAACAGACGTACATGGCTTACTAGACTCGGCTATTGATATTGATAAAAAATATATACTTTATAGGGTAGGAAACGCTTCCTTCCACCTGTTACGTACTTTTCAACGAATCTACAGAGTCGCCCATGTAGCGTTTGCTTTTTGAACTATCGATAGATAGTTAGATATTTAGTAGAACTTTTGCGGTTTACGAAATGGTTAATTTTACGCTTTCTTTCAAAGTGGAGAGTCTTCAACCGAAACTGTAAGAAAATTGCGGTCAAAATTAGATAGTTTTGTGAAGCGTGTGCGTCAGACTGAATAGTTGATGAATAAACCAACACGTTTACGTACTCGCCCAGTTCGGTCCGTCGAATATATCGCTGGGGTTGGCGAATGTGTCAATGACAATCCGTCGACGTCTACTCGGCACCGTGCTCAAGAGTTGGACATTTCGCGAACTTCCCTGCAACGAATTTTAACCAAAGACCTCCGTCTAAGGCCATATAACATTCAGTTGGTTCAGCAGATTAAGCCGTAGTGACTGCTTGGTGACTGATTTACTCTACTCTACTTTGGAAATTCACAAGGCGCCACCTATTGTCAGAGAAAGTATTTTGAGTAACTGCTAGTGACGTCACTGTCCATGTGTTATAGCCTACATTTCTTCATAAATAGCAATATATTTTCAAAATATTTGGTAAATCGATAGATATTGACAAAAATATGTCATACAAGGTCAAACGAAGGCATACAAAATAATATTATGGACGCCACAGTTTTCCAGATTTTGTGGGCGTTAGAGTGGGCATGACGCATGGACCTCAAGCATCTGCCTACTTAAGCTCAACTCTGTATCTCTTATAGTTCCTGAGATCTCAACGTTCATACGGACAGACGGACGGACTAATAGACGGACACAGCTTAACTTTATATGGTCGGAAACGCTTCCTTCTACCTGAACGAATCTAATATAATGAGAATTGTCACCCCGATAGATAGCCCTTGGTATAAATAGAAAAAGTACATAAAAAAAGGACCGAGTCAGAGTTGTGAGAGCAAAGCTTCAAGTGGGTTTTAAGACCAATTACTAAAATTTTCCTTCTCACTTGAATTGAAGCTGAAGAAAACGAAAATATTATTCCCCCGAGACCGGAAAGAGGTACTCGATCTAGCCCTAAAATACACGGTTTGGAGTAATGGTTATTATTTTTTTGACGGTAGTGTGCCAAGTGCCTAATGCAAGTTTACCTACAGGAGATCAACAGATGTGAACAATTAAAAATTTGGACAACACTACCTCCATTTATTAAGATCCGATGGGAGATGTCAAAATCAGCGTCATATTCGGATCTAATAGTGTACAATACCATGGATCCCTATTTTGACATAATTTAAAGGGGAAAGCTTCTAAATAGCAACATGACAGCGATATGTGATTCAATATGTGAAGGATTTGAAGATCAATGTAACACAGTTCTTAATAACACTCAACGACAGATTTCCGATTTTCCGTTAGACAATCAACGCAATACTGAAGAGTTAGTTAAAAGGGAACATCAGTAGTAGAGTCAACATTAAAAATCCATAAACGAAAAACGGAGGAAGTAAATTCAAATTGAAAGTATTGAAAGAAAGTTATTATGCTTATATAGAGTGGATAAATTTCCTTATTGTAACTAAACAGTTAAGTACCCTAATCGAGAAATGTGAAAAGATTCAATCAGGGGTAATTAGCCTACAATTTAATCCGCTTCAGAATGAGAGGCAGGCAACGGTGTTGTTATTGCACCGCATCTCCAAGGTCAATGATATTTCCTTTTCTGCTTTTGGTTATACATATGGTATGCTTATGATTTACCGATTTTATTATGGCTCATAATGCTTTACAATAGAGGGTAATATTTTAGCATACAATTTCAATATTCATTTTGCTACTGGAAATTTACAGAGCTCCTCCTTGTGTCAGAAAAAGCATATTGAGTATAACATAAATTTCTTCTTACATAGCGAAAGAATGTTCCGATTTGAAAAAATGTTAGCAAATTGATATACAAGTGTTATACAAGGTCAAACGAAGACATTCATTATAATATTATGGACGCCACAGTTTTCCGAACTTTCTATCACTTATAGTTCATGAGATCTAAGCGTTCACACGGGCAGACGTACGTGGCTTAATCGACTCGGCTATTGATATTGATCAAGAATATATATACTTTAAAGGGTCGGAAAAGTTTCCTTCTACCTGTTACATATTTTTCATTGAATATAATATATTGTTTTAGTCGACGAATAACGGTTACAATAAAGAAGCAAGCGTAAAGAAAGTGTCTTTATAAATGTTTATGACAAATTCAAAATACGAATAAAATAAAATTACCTGAAATAATAAGCTATAATATTAATAACAATATAACATAATCTGAACTTTCTATCACTTATAGCTTTTGAAATCTCTGCGTTCGTACATGGCTTAATCGACTCGGCTATTGATATTGATCAAGAATATATATACTTTATAGAAACGCTTTCTTCTACCTGTTTCATAGTTTACAACGAATCTAATATATCGTTTTACTCTTCGAATAACGGAGCGAATAAAGACGCAAGCGTGAACAAAGTGTTTTTATAAATATAGATTTAATAAATTTAATATACGAATAAAATGGAATTACCTGAAATATGCGAACAATATAAGCCAAGAATGACAATGTTTTAATTTGTGCACCCATAAAATCTACAAAAACTTCTTTTTGTGGCGAGTTTCTGAAAATAAAATTTTTTAAGATTAACATAAAGTTGGAAAGTTTTAAGGACTTATGTTAAACGATTTATTTAATTTTAACTCTCTTTACTCTTATGTACAAACATATAATTATGATCCTTATAAAAATGAAAGTTAAAATAAGATGAAACGCTATAGTCGAGTGCCGGGAATCATAACATGATATCGATTACTGTCATACACACACAATTTAAAATAATAATATCGGTAATTTAACTAAATTAACTTAAGGTGACGTCAATTTTTAATGAAATACTAACAACAATTTATATTTTATATATGTTTAGATAGTAAATATTGAGAACGTAAAAATATATAAGGTAAAAGAAAAAATACATTGTTTGAGAGCGTTTTTCGACAGATTCTATATTTTATTTTGGTCAGTCCCAGTGCTGGGATTATAAAATATATAATATATATAGTATAACTGCTAATAGCACCTTTTGTCAGAAAAATCATTTTTAATAACTCATGGTGACGTCACTACCCATGAAAGGCCTTATGGGCCACAATTCTTAAAATATAGCGAAATATTGTTCTGATTTAAAAATGTTATTTATACCTGCTATGTACGATTGACTCATGATCTGTAATACGTTTGCAGGTAGATGGCTTGATGACGACACGGAAAAGCCTAAAATATTTAAACTTTCTTAAGGGGCTATATTCATGTAATATTATTGAGACTTCCTTTCGCCCTTTCATGTAAAATTATTAGGTCCATCCTCAACGACCTGCTCATGCGAAACAATTGAAGACACCCGAAACACTCAAGTCAGTTGAAGACAGCCGAACCACTCATTCCGAAACATGAGCTGTAAGTGCTGTAAGTGTTTTGGGTGGCTGTGCAACAGAGTAGTTTGTGCGTATGAGCAGATTCGAAATGATCAGTGCAAGGCACCCACCCTTATTTTTAGGGTGCTGATCACACTCTAAGTGCCGAAAACGCACAAATGATTCGGGTATACTTATTGTAGCGATTTTTTGCTTGGTCAGCGAAGATGCCACTTAGTTTTAGTTGACGTTATGTTACAATTGAATAAAGAGCCAAAGCTCAATATATGTAACTCCGGCAACAGCCGTTAAAGATTTATTGATTTGATACCCAGTCTGAGTCTCAGGGCACTTACCCTTTCAACGGTATTTATACAATTTGAAGCCACGGCCAACCGGCCCCCGCCACGGACACTCAGCCAGGCGGCTCCACCCCTGCCACGGAAGTTCAGCCAGCCGGCTCTTTAACTACATAACTTACCCTTGCCGTTCTCGGATACATATCAAGAATTCCTCTGTTTAATCCCAACTTTTTAGTTCTTTCTTTCGGTCTTTGCGGTTTTGGTATTCCGCGAATTTTTGGGCATTAGGACAGTTAGACATGGCTTAATCGACTTGTCTATTGATTCTGATCTACTTGTTACATACTTTTCATTGAAGACAATATACTCTTTTACTATACGAGTGTATACGGCAATGCTTGCTCCAAACCGCCCATCAAACGACCTGCTCGATTGTGAATTGCAAAATTTGATTCTGTCGAACTCAGGACGTGTGTTCTATCGCGGATTTTGGCAACCATACGGTCACAAAATAATATTGCACTGGCCATTGCATAATCTGAAATTGCGGCACGTACAGCGCATATAGTATTGAAGCTACCATTGATTTTACAAGACACTGAGGCTGCAATATGCAACATCATTAAAAACTCTGGAATGGACGAAGTTCTCAAAACATGTCATATTACTATATGGGACGAATGCACAATTGTCTCACAAAAAAGCATTGGAAGCGGTCAATTTGTTGATCACTGCGATATAGAAGAGGAAACGCACGGATTCATTGAATATATTTAAACAAGAGGAAACGCTATAGTAGAGTGACGCGACTATAAGATACCCGTTACTGTTTCTCACAATTTTTAAATATTTATTTTGCTAATGGAAATTCCGCAAGCACCACCTGTTGACGGAGAAAGCATGTTGACTTACTGATAGTGACATCACTGCCCATGTAAGGCCTTATAACATAAATTTCGTCATAAATAGCGAAATAATGTTTCGATTTCAAACATTTTTAGTAAATCGAAATGTATTGACAAAAATATGTTATACAAGGTCAAACAAAAACATGCAGTAAAATATTATGGACGCCACAGTTTTCCGCCGTTTGTGGGCGTTAGGGTGGGCGTGGACAGAGCCGCAGTGGCAGCTTTTAAATACGTATTCTTAAGTATAACATTCTAGTTTTTATATTTCCCGAGATTTTCCCATTTTTTAGTTTTTCGGGTTTTGTCGGCGTTAGAGTGGGCGTGGGCTGATCGGAATTCTAATAAGGGGCATCATTAAAACCTACATGCTTAATCCGAACTTTCTATCACTTATAATTACACAGATATCAGGTTTTCTAGAAAATGCGAAAACCGTCTTTTGAGCTTGGTGGGCGTACGGTTGGGTGTGGCCGGATAATAGTACCACTATAAGATGCATAAGATCTCAGGAACTATAGCAGATGCAAAAATAAGGAAGTTTATTTCAGCATCCTGCCACGCCCACTTTAACGCCTACAAAACACGAAAAACCAAAATCGCTGAAATCTCGGGAACAATTAAAGCTAGCTATATTGATCTTTTATACCCGGAACTGGTTGAGTAAACGGGTATACTGGATTCGTTGAAAAGTATGTAACAGATAGAAGGAAGCTTTTCCGACCCTATAAAGTATATATATTCTTGCGAATTTTTCCATCTAGCTACGCCAACAAAACCCGAAAAACCAAAAACATTTAGAATTGAACATTTAGATATTGCACCAATATCGGCTATAGGCCGTGTGGGAATCTGCACAGAGCAGCGAGATCGCCAAGAAGAGCGACGATGCTAGCAGCGGACACGAGTGATGAGTGTCAAGAGAGACGAGAGTTTAGTTTTAAATAAGTGAGCGAGCAAGACAGACGTGTGTTAATAGGGTCGTTCGAGACAAAGTTCCATGTATAGATGACATTGATGAACAATTTACAGACTCGGCTGAAAGGAATAGAGATTGTATACTAAAACAAAAAGGGAAAGAACAGGCAGACAAAAAGAGAGGGGCTAAAGAAATCGAAATAAAGGTAGGGGATAAGGTGCTTTTGAAGAATGTAATTTTCACAAACAAATTAACTCCAACCTTTGGCTACACCGAATATGAAGTAGTAGAAAAAAACAATAATATTATTAAAATTACGGCAGAGGGAAAGACACTTATTAGGAACGTATGTCAAGAAGATTCCAATAACGACAAGCGAGGCAACGGCATCTGTAATTTCTCTTTTAGGTAACGCTCGAGATAATAGGACATCGGTACTGGACTACCAGGAAGATGGGGAAGACCAGGAACATCGAACGGAGAGGTTGGCGGAAAGTTTACATCAACCTTTGAAGCTGAAACTTGTTAATAAAGGAGGGATGTGGGAATCTGCACAGAGCAGCGAGATCGCCAAGGGGAGCGACACGAGTGATGAGTGTCAAGAGAGACGAGAGTTTAGTTTTAAATAAGTGAGCGAGCAAGACAGACGTGTGTTAATAAAGAAATGAAATAAACCGAATTTAAGTACAATAAAGTGCGGGTTTATTACTTGATATCACGGGTCGTTACAGGCCGATATTGCAATGCGTTAAAGTATAAAAGAGAAACGGCTGGATTGTGCTGCGCAAATGGAAAAGTCAAACTGGAAAAGTTACAACACACATAACCAATCAGTCACTCCAATACAATAAATTGCATCACATTATCGCCTTGCATGGCTGATGGAAAGTGCACAAAACAATATCCGCAACCGTTAGTTGCTGAAACAATCACAGGGAATAATAGATATCCAGTTTATCGTCGGCGCTCAAAAGAAGAAAATGGTCGAACTATCAAAGTTAATGTTCAAAATCAAGAGATTAAGATCGGAAATGAATTCATTGTGCCATATCTTTTAATCACCAAAAGAAATAAAGCCATCTGGTGGCGGAACGGAGTTCGCCGGGTTCGGTAGTTCCATATAAAACGCCAAGAAACACGTTAAAAATTTATCTTTGGAGGTAGAAATGATTGGGATTAACCTAAAAAAAATGGATTTCAAAAGTCTCAGAAATAAAGAAACATTGGAAAATAACAAAATTTTAGAGATTTGGGAAATTGAATTGATTAAAATGTTAGGGCTTCAATAGGAACCGAATAAAGATAAGTTTACATATAACTTTAATTATGAACCTTACAAAGATTTATGATTCCCTAGGCTGGTTGTCTCCAGTAACAATAATCGGTAAATTGTTAACACAAAATCTCTGGTTGACAGATCAAAATTGGGATCAAAACTTGTCCGATCCAGATGCTAAGGAATGGAATGTTTTTAAAGAAAATCTAACATCACTTGAAAGTATTAGATTCCCAAGGTGGCTAAGGTCCCACGATAAAATCCCAGTCCAAATTCAAGGATTCTCTGATGCGTCTGAGCTTATAACTAGCAAAATCAAGGTTAATCTGAAGAATTGGAAAATTGGAACTATGTGCTCCACATCTTCTCTCAAAGTGAGTAAATAAAAAGTGAAGTGATTCAACAATCCCATTGGGCATGCATTACAAAACAGGAATAATAAAGACAAATTTATTCGGAGGCGAACTGATACGAAAGCTTAAGGATATAGAAGAGACATGTTAGACCAGAAGACAACCCAGCAGACAGAAGAGAGATACAAACAGAAAAGCTGCTAGAATGTGGAATTTGATGGAACGGTACTCAATGGTTGGTCAATTCGGAAAGGATTGTCCAAACGAGGAACAAGTAGGTAATAGTAATCAGAATAATACCTAAGCCAAACAAACCGGTACCTTAATTTAATCCCTAATACAAAAATATTGTGCAAAAATTGGAAAGAATTATTGCATATCTCTTAAGATTTTTCGAAATAAAGTTAACAGTGTAGGTGTCTCAATGACATGTTCACAGTCTTAC